CCAAGGTGTTCAACTGCCTCTGAAGTAACTCAGCAGTGATTGCCAGAGTAATTAATGAGAATATGTACAAGCTGTGAAGGAGACAAACATCTGGTTGGGAGGAAAGGTTAGGGAACAAAAGCACTACACTCTGACAAGGTGCAATCCAGAGAAAACTAACTTGCAGTGGAAATCAACAACTGACTCCAGAAGAAGACTACTACTAAACACAAACTTGAAGGATGGATCTTTATGGACTGAGCCCATTTTATCAGATAAACATTGTTTACAGACTAGTGGTGGAAGAGGAGAACTTCAGGGAATGATTTAATGGGATTTTCATTGCAATCATACCTAGAATCACAAAATCACTGAATAGCTGAGGCTGGAAGGGACCTTTGGAGATCGGCTCAAAGCAGGGTCATCCAGAGCAGGCTGCTCAGGCCATTGTCCAGTCGGGTTCCAAATATCTCCAAGGATGGAGACTCTGCAACCTGGGAAACCTGATGCAGAGCTTGACCACCCTCACAATAAAAAAATTTCTTCTTATGTTTAAACAGAATTTCCTGTATTTCCATCTGTGCCCATTGCCTCCTGTCCTGCCACCGGGTGCCACTGAGAAGACTGTAGCTATGTCTTCTTTACTGCTTCCCACCAGTTATTTGCACACATTGATAAGGTCCCCCTGAGCCACCTTCTCTCGAGGCTAAGTAGTCCCACCTCCCTCAGCCTATCCTTGTACCACACATGCTGCAGTCCCTTAATCATCTTTGTGGCCCTTTGCTGGACTCACTCCAGTAAGTCCATGTCTCCCTTGTACTGGAGAGCCCAGCACCGGACACAGTATTCCAGATTTGGCCTCACTAGTGCTGAACAGAGGGCAATAAAAACCTCCCTTGACCTGCTATCTATGCTCTTCCTAATGCAGCCCAGGACACTGTTGGCCTTTTTTGCTTCAAGATGGCATTGCTGGCTGATATTCAACTTGGTGTCCACCAGGACCCCCAGGTCCTTTTCTGCCGAATTGTTTTCCAGCCAGTCAGCCCCCAGTGTGCACTGGTGCATGGGGTTATTCCTTCCCAGGTGCTGGACTTTGCACTTCCCAGTGTTGAACTTCGTGAGGCTCAGGAGGAAAGAGACACACAGAATTATTTTTAAGACCTCACATTCTCATGAATCTGCACTCGGAGAATCATCTGATACACGTCAGAATACCCAACTTGCAGCCTTGCAAATCTATTCCGAAGAAACAGTTCAGCACCTCTAGTAAAGAATCTGCAGTAAATAAAAAAAACCCTGTGTAACACTAGAGAGTGAAGTTTACCTTGAGCAGGGAGGTTATTTATCATGAGCTGTCCTTTTGTCCAAGTTTTGGCTCTGAACCTGAAGGATCCGCCTTTATAATTTCCACTAGTAAAGGTGGAAAGGTTTCACAGTTCTCACAAGTTCTAGTATCAGATCACAACATAACAGAGGTTCATCAGCTAGAGAGACCTTCAGTAGCAACCCTAGTAAAGCAGGCTCCAGCATCCGGGTGGATATCAGTTACTCTCCCTATTGTGACTGCTGCTGATTTTAGTTTACACTGGATGCAAGAACCTGTCACTAAGAAATTGCATAGTGCTGAAACACAGGTGCCAGCTGTAGCTTAAAATTTAAAAACTGACTGTACCAAATTCATTAAGGGCCCAAATCAACGTCTGAAACTTAAGCCCTTTTAATAATTGTGGAGCACTATGAAACAACTCCAGCATTTTGTCTGGGAACGTAATGCCTCAGGTTTCAGCTCCAAGATCATCATAAGCAGATGCCAATTCCTACCCTACCCAGGGCTGAAGTTACCACCATGCCAGTCCTGAACAGAGCAGTCCTACACACAGCACTGAACGACTGGTCAGGATTCGAAGCGGAGGCAATGTCTCAAAGAAGTACATACTTGGGGCAGTAGCCCATTATCAAGCAATGGATGAAGACCAGAGAATCTTTGTGGCCAACTCTTTCCTCCAAATCAGAGGACTGGTTTTGGCTGGCTTGTAAGGCTGACAAAAATCTGACTGAAGGCATTAGTACAACATACCACCATACCCAAATAAAAAGTGATCCTGTTTTAAATCAGCATTGATCTCTGTTTCTTTCGTGTTTTTGCCTATGTTCTGGAAAAGTTTTCAATTGAAATGAGACAGGCATTCCTATAACCTTCTACAGGCATTTATTTCGACAAAATTTATGGGTTTTTTAATATATGCAGATATTAAGACATACACAACCCTTACAAAGTAACTTCATATTAATTTAGTCACTGAATCCACAGCAGTAACCATTGTCAGCACAAGCTTCACATCTTCCATCTTCTGCCTTTTAAACATTGAAAATAATCGTTTAATAGGAGATATTCAATCCAGACCCATAGTGACAATGAACTCTTGCGTATGTCCTGTCCCAGACTTTAAACTATAAAAGCTTCTGGCTTGCTTTTTCCTTAGCAGGCACATCTGTAATCAGAGCTGTGTCTTCCCTCAACATTTCTTTTTCTACCACACGTCCCAGTAATCCCAAGCTCATTCCTTCTACTGCCTCTAACCTTCAGATTTGCTATTTTCACCTTCCCATAGTCAGGCCCCCAACACCAAGCCTCCCTTAACAACTTCTGCTGTAGGGACATAATCCAGACCTGATCTCCCCCACCTGCTAAGCCTGCTGTGGCTTGCCACATACCTCTGTCATCAGCTGCAATGACTTCTCATCAACACTTTTAAGCAGAGGAACTGCTGCCTGACTCTGGAGTAAAAATACCACTTGCAACAGAATAAAAGTTTCTGAGGGAAAAAAAAAAAGTGGTAACTTAGAGCGCAAGAACACTGGCACGAATTATTGATGGTAACATAATTCAGCAAGCAGCTTGGGAGGTAGCTTTAGAAGAGGCTGATAAGAATTAGAAACATAATTTTAATGCCACAAACATTAAAAGTTATCAAGTTATCTGAATGCTAAACCTATGCGTAACAAGATTCCTGCGTGTAACATAGGATTAAATCTGGAGGCTGGTTGGCAGAACAGATGAATGGGGAGAATCTCTGGCTGCTTGGAAGAAAGCATCAGAAAAAGGGGCACTTATGCAACTGCTCCCAATGAAGATGGTTAGATTGGGATCTGCATATTCTAGAACAGCCATATCCCACAATGAGGGCAACAGAAGCTGCCAGATAATGTAGGAATGCATGCACTAATCTGTAAGGATGTATTATTCTGGGTATCTAGTAATTTCCTCCAGGTACTTTCAAGCAGAAAAAGAGATCAGACTATCGATTATCTCCAGATCTTTCCACCATTTCACTTCTGTCCAAACATGACGTTTAAACATTTTATCCTTGCCTAAGAAGCTCTGTGCAATTCTATCCTGATCTGTAATTCATATAAACATTTTTACTGCCTGTTTCCTTACCGTATTTATTCCACCCTGAGTTCTTTTCTTGAAGTACGAGTTTATAAGGGTAAGAGAATAGAGGAAGAAGAAAGCAAAAAGTTGCCGCTGCCCTTCTGTTAGCGCAACCTGTTATATAAGGAAGGGAAAGACACTGCAGTACTGTAGTTTACCTAATATTTTAACTAAATCAACCTCCCCACCTTTTTTGTAAGTTTTCCCATTCGATTTGTCTCCATGAAATTGCTCCCCTCAAAACTCTTTTTAAAATCACTGTTGTTAATGACACACACAGTTGTCAGGAAACGTCTATAAACATATAGAGCAAAACTGGGAAATTCACCTTCTCTTCTGTTGCAATAAAGAAAAGGCCCATTGAGCATCACAACTCCAATCTTGTTCACTGCTGAACAAATGCAGATTAAATTCACAACCAGATATGCTTTGCAAGAGGATCAAAAGAAGACAATGAAACAAGAGCCAAAAACCCGCATATGAAAATCACAGCAGTACTTAACCATGTCACAGGCATAAATGACAAGAAACGGAATGGAATATAAATCATGAAAACTTAGCTAGAGACTGACTGCCAAGCTGTGCCTGTAAACAGCTAGGCAAAAACAAGAGTCTAGAATTTATCTACCTGTGTCTTAAAAGGAAGAAGTCTATACACCTTGAAATGACTATAAATGCATTAAGCGGAAGAAGAGGTAACAACTAGTAGGGCAGGGGTTTTGAAGGATCAAAACATGATTTTACTCTGTGGGGAAGGAAACAAAAGATGAAGTTTAGTTTATGGGTGAAGAAAAAAAAAAGTTTTTTTTTTTCTTTCTAGAATTCACATACAAAACATCATACACATATACTGTGTGCAACATTAAACACACCACCTTTTTGGCCACTAAAAACAACAAATAGTTTTGATACACTTGCACAACCTTCTGCAGGAAACCTTTCTGCTTCCCTGAACTCCATAAAGCCCTCTCAACCAGATGACTCTTTCATCACTCTTTCTCACTGTTAATCTCCAGTTTTCCATCTCTTATTGCTCCTTAAATACTTTCCACAGGCAGTAAACCCAGGAAATTTTAGCTAAAAAAAGGTCTGGAAGTGAGAAGAGCTCCGCATTTACCTCCCATAGTGAGCGCTGAAGTGACTCGTGCTCAAATGCTACTCAAGACACATCTGAACGGGTACCAACATCTTTGGGAGTTAGCACTTGAACGCATATGTTAAAGCATAGTTCAAGTGAAGTTTTTTAAAAGTTTCAGAATAAACATGAACGTTTAGAGAATATTGGTTTTCTGCTGCTTGTTTTTTCATCTTCCACTACTAGCGATGCTAGAACTCTAAAACTAATCTTGTTTTGCATTGCTGCTGCTGCTGCTTTCATAAAGAATCAGTCTTCATCCCAGAAGCGTAGAACACTTTTCACTCCAACAAAAGTCTGGGCTTAAATGCTCTGGGACTAAGACCGTTACAGTGGGAACGATGCAGGCACTACGTGCTTTGTTACATGAGAAAGGACAGCATATTTACGTATGTTGAACAGAATCCCTGCTCTGACCAGATGTTTCAAACGAGAAAATATTCCGTTTACCATTTTCAACATGGGCAAGTCTGTGCATGAGAGGCAGCCACACAAGGCACTGAGGCGGCGGATCAGCCATCAATGTGTCTAAAAACATGTTTAGCATGATTTTTTTCTGCAAAGAAAAAAGAAATACAACTTAATTACAAGAAAAATTTCATTTTTATATACCAAAAACTACTTCAGCCTTAAAAATCTCTCTATGACTCAACTTCTGTCTACCAGGAATATTTCATATGCTATAAAGAGATAAAAATCACAACTTCTTGGCTCAGGGAGTTTCAATCTATGTTAGGCAAACAGTAACACCACAAAGAAGGTATTAGTATAGACACGATATAATCATACAAAAATAAATGATAAACAGATGAACAGAATGCTCCAAGAAATGGAGGACTAGTCAGTCAGGATTGGTTCCCAAGTTGCAGTTAAAGATTCTTACTTTGAAGAGGGATACAACAAATGTGAGCGGAGGTTATTTAACAATGTAGAAAACAGTATTTCAAACATACAGACAGCACTGAAAAAAGTAGACACACACAAAAAAAAGAGTAATTACAACTAATCTCCATACATGACCCATACAGTAAATGATTTTTTTTTTAAAGGCAAAATAAGGAAAAAATAGGCAAGGGGAAAACAAAGCTAAGATTTTAAAAAACTGTCAATAAAAAAGAAATTGAAATGAAATCAATAGGAGAAGGAAGTCAGGCGACACGTTAAGAGTAGTATTTTCTAAGGTTTCAAATTCAAGTGAGCAAGAGAAAATTTCTGCTGCAAATACAAACAGATGGAGATAACTGGTAAGAAAAACAGCTAAGAATATTATGGATACAAAGAAAGAATATGTTGGCTTTTGCATACAATAAGCTAGATGCTTAAGAACTTCTCATAGGCAGAAGACCAGCTGGTCAGATCGCACTTTTTTCTCACCTTAGCATATGGCAGTGTTACTCCAAAAAGCATCCACAACAGGGAGGGTAAGCAGAGCTAGAGGAGAAGTCAGTCTGGTTTTCTAGGAGCTGTGAAATTAATTGTAGCTTTCACTTGCAACTATCATGCCAAAAATTAAGGTGGTTTTTGTCTGGTTTTTTTTTTTTTGGTTGTAGGTTGTTCGGGGTTTGTTTTCTTTTGTTTTTTAATTAAAGAGAAGGTTTCTATTTAAAGCATCAATAGTTTTGTGATTAGTGGCAAATATATATACCTAACACCTCTGCGGCTAACTACCCTGGAGACATAATATGGAATTATAACTATCTATTCCAGTTACCATTAAGGAAAATTCTAAGAAATATTTAACCTTACTTCTTCCAACTTTTATAAGGTGTCCTTGTTCCAGTCTCTCTGCTTAGTAAATGAAAAGCTTTTCCTGAACAGTTAACTGCTGCTACAAGAGAGTCCAAGAATTTCCTTTGCCAGATATGACATCAGACGCACTACCTGGAAAAGAACGAACGCCTGGATCTTGCCTGGCAATCCCAGCCTTCCCTCCGCCTCACAGCCAAGTCATCCTTCGGGTTATTAATTACAACACACGGTCAACCTACCTTCTCCACCCTTTGAGGGTGAAGAAATGCGAAATCTTTTAACAAATGCACATCGCGGTAAGGCCATGAAACACTCTAAATATACTGAATGAAGCCTTCTGATAGAAGGAGAACCACAGTTTTTAACTGGGAATTAACTGATCGTGGTATGCGATGTCTGAGACCAGAAAGGGCTGCTCGCGTAACCAGGAACCACCGTGCTAATGATGTTAAGTGGCAGCATTGTCTGTAATTGATGTGCAGATTTTATGTTTCAAATCTTAACATAATATCCTAGTTGCTTACTTGTATAGGTATTGCACAACTTTATAAATATGCCTCCAAGTTTCCCAATTTTGACTTGGCTCTCATCTCTCATACTGTTTCATACACAAGAGTATGAAGGTTCCTCCAAGTAATAAATACGGCTCACAGACAGACAAGTTTTCTGGAGACAAGACCCAGGATCCATTAGACATCACACATTTTTAAGAAGTGTAAAAAGGAGGATCCTGGGAACTACCAGTCAGCCTCACCTCCACACCTGTTAAGATCACGGAGCAGATCCTCCTGGAAAACATGTCGAAACATACGGAAGACAGGGAGGTGACTGGAGACAGGCAGCATGGCTTCATGAAGTGCAGCTCACACCTGACTAATCTAGTGGCCTTCTATAATGTGACTGCATCAGTGGACAAGAGAAGAGCTATGGATGGCATGTACCTGGACTTCTGTAAGGCCTTTGATACGGTCCATCACAACATTCTGGCCACTAAATTGGAGAGAGACGAGTTTGATGGATGGACTGTTAGATGGATAACGAATTGGCTGGATGGCCGTGTCCAAAGAGTTACAGGCAATGGCTCAAGGTCCAAGTAGAAACCAGTAATGAGTGGTGTCCCCCAGGGGTCTGTACTGGGACCAATACTATTTACTGCCTTCATCAATGACATAGTGGGATCGAGGGCATCTTCAGCAAGTTTGCAGATAACACCAAGCCAAGTGGTACGGTTGACACACCTGAGGGATGGGATGCCATCCAGAGGGACCTGGACAGGCTGGAGGAGTGGACCAGTGTGAACCTCATGAAGTTCAACAAGGTCAAGTGCAAGGTCCTGCACCTGGGCCGGGGCAATCCCCAATATCAATACAGGCTGGGGGATGAAGGGATGGAGAGCAGCCCTGCCGAGAAGGACTTGGGGGTACTGGGGGATGAAAAGCTGGACATGAGCCAGCAATGTGCACTCACAGCCCAGAAGGCCAATCGTATCCTGGGCTGCATCAAAAGAAGCGTGGCCAGCAGGCCGAGGGAGGGGATTCTGCCCCTCTACTCTCCTGAGACCCCACCTGGAGTCATGTGTCCAGCTCTGGGGCCCACAGCACAGAAAAGACACGGACCTGTTGGAGCGGGTCCAGAGGAGGGACACGAAAATGATCAGAGGGCTGGAACACCTCTGCTATGGAGAAAGTTTGGGTTGTTCAGCCTGGAGAAAAGAAGGCTCTGGGGAGACCTTATTGTGGCATTTCAATATATGAAGGAGCTTGTAATAAACATGGAGACTGACTTTTTACCAGGGCCCGTAGTGAAGTGACAGGACAAGGGGCAATGGTTTTAAACTGAAAGAGGGTAGGGTTAGATTCGACATGAGGAAGAAATTTTTATGATGAGGGTGCTGAGACACTGGAGCAGGTTGCCCAGAGATGTTGTGGACGCCACATCACTAGAAGTGTTCAAGGTCAGATTGGATGGGGCTTTGAGCAGCCTGATCTAGTTGAAGATGTCCCTGCCCAAGGCAGGGGGGTTGGACTAGATGATCTTGAAAGGTCCCTTTCAACCCAAACTATTCTATGATTAGACAGTGATACATGATACGCACAGTGGCAGAAGAACCTAAACCTAGCAGGAGAGCTTTCTGCTATAGACAAGGATGTTCCTCAAAGAAAAAAACTGGTTCCCTTTAAGCAGTGAGAACCTTATGAGTTGTCAAAGCCTGTGTATGGAGCGATGCAACTTCCATGTAGTTCACAAGAGGGCAGTACGGACACAGGCTTTGGGGATTTTTTTTTCCACCGATACAGGTAGGATATTTTCCAACGAATTGACCAAAAAGAATCATGCAGCATTGTCAGTACTACATCTTGTCTGTCTGGGCATAGGCATTCTTGGTAATGGCTGAGTTGACAGGAAAGCAAACAGCAGTCTCCTCCTCCTGGAAATTATGAATGTGTCAGAGAAGGAGCCTAGATAAGCCCTTTCTTGTAGCTAGTCTAACATTTCCTATTGGGTTCAGAACCCAACCATGGAGCAACCACAAAAACATCACTCAGTCGCCATTTGTGATGCAAAACCAACCAAATAATCTGCCAGCAGGTTCCAAACTCCAAGAACATAAACTGAAAACTAGTAAATGTGAAGGCACAACCACTCAAGAGGGTCAAATGCTCCCCAGGAGAACAAATGCATTTCTGCATAGATGCTTTCTGTAATCACCTGCTTACTCACTATCCTATTATAATAATTGTTTTTAGAATTGCCTGTCTTTAGAATTAGAACTTGTCTTAATAGCTCTGTAGTCTCAGATCTTCTTGCAGGTGGGTGCAGTGGCAGGTTATACCAATGCTATTCTTACAGTTAGAAGAATACCATAGGCTTGCTTCAATAGCAAAAACTCAGCCAGTTTTATTGTTACACTGCCAACATGCTTATTCCAACAAGACGTTAATGCATATATTTCCCCACAAAATACTGGCACAAAACCACATCCCCTGAGCCAACACAGAGATATGTGATTTTTAAGTGTACAGTGATCAAAACAAGTTATATCGATCTAAGCAGCTGTGTATTAGACCCCACCTGTATCTCTAACTGTCCTGCATCTTGTGCTTAAACTGCAACTCTATCAGAGTACACTTACACCACCCTTTATACACAGAACCATCCTGTCCTTAATAAACATATCCTTATTACTTGCTTTAATGAGACTGCACATCCTGACCATCCTTCTGACACTGTTAAGCTTGTGCAGTCAGTTCAGCTATCAGCCATACCATCCAGGAAGCCTAAGTCAGCCAAAGATTTAGCAAAGCTTTTATGTGAGTAACATATGCACAAATCAACACCTATCTAGGCCTGCTTGTATGGTTTGTGCTGCTGAGTTTCAACAGAATAATGTGCAGTTTGGCTCTACAGAAGCCAAGCTCCTGGCTCCCAAGCTCCCAAGTCTCTGAAGTAAACTTCTCAGCTCAGCAGAAACACTGCGATTGAACTGCTCTGTAAATGAGATATAAAATGGACACACCTCTGCAACGACAGGACAGGCTGTGCCATAAACACAGAAAGATTCTGATTAAGGCAGGGAATGTCATGGTAATACAACATCTCTATGACAAATAGATGGACTGTAGCCAAGTGAACAAAAGTCTTAAGAAAAGTATGACACGGTATCTTACATCTGTGGAAGCCCTCACTTGACCTAGAATAGTAAATTATTACTGGAAGCTCTTTATACATCTGGAAGCCATCACAAAGAATGAGGCTCTTGCCAAAAGCATCCCAGTAAACTCCATTTTGCGTGGGCAACAAGTTTGAGTTATTCCATCTGTGACTCAAGAAATGAAACAGAGTTGTGGAGTGTATACAACCGCTGACACTTTTTGCCTATCTGCCCTTTCACCACTCAGACAGCAGTACATTATTAGCCTTTTGAACTCAAAGAAGTGGCTCCCAGAACCAGGACCTCCATGAATAGCCAGGAACCACAGCTGGCCAGGAAGGATTTGTCTCTTGGTAGTTTAAGTAACACCAGGGAATGTTCCTGGCACTAAAACTCAATCACGCATGCTTTTATGTTATTAAACCCGTGCTTGATTCAACCACTCACTCTCCCAAATGATTCCAGCATCCAGATCAGGTGTTAATATCAGCTAGGAATCATTTTTAATAAACAGTTTCCATGTAACCACCCTGCTTGAGGGAATAAGAGTGTTTAATAGCATGGAAGTGGTTAGACCATTCCAGTTAGCCTTCGGACCACAAAACTGCTCCTGGCACTGTTTAGTTAACTAGTACAGATGTAGCTTATAAGTCCGTCATGTAAATGCCAAAGTCCATTGCACAGAGCTCTCTCCAATGCCATCTGGAGAGAATTTCAGCAAAATGATAGGCTGTAACAGAAGAATATCACAGAAGTACTTTTGGGAAGTTTATTTTCAAACCTGGGAGGCATAAGAAAATGAAATTAAATCTAAGACAGATTATCCATCTACTTCCCAGGACCTGTTTTGCTTCAATGTTTTCAAATAAATGAAAGAACTGTCTTGGGGTACAGTGTATATCTGGATTAATTAAAAAAACATTACCACTCTCTACAAACCTGGCCTTACACTAGAGATTTTGTTTTGCTGAATAAGATCGGAGTGAAGGAATTTCTAAAAATGAATCAATATGAAGAATTAGCTTTCTCGTTCATGGGAGCCAAAGTCAAAGAGTGCTAAGACATGCTGCAGGCAAGCCACGTGCGAATGGGCAGTTACTACACCTCGCTTGGCTACCATGGTGAGATCTGCATCAAGTATCTTAGAAACCTCAGTCAACTGTCAAGGTCTAGCTAGCTACACTAGCCCCCCTCTTCATGGGTAAGTGAGAAACGGTCACTTCCAGAGCGCAGGCTTCACAACAAAACTAAAAACCCACCCCCATTGCCTTTGCAGACAATGGAAGGAGCACGTAGGGCTTAGAATCCGATGTCTGACTTTTGAAGTGAGGCTCCGAAGTGAGGCTGTGGTTTTACATTCAACAGCAGTGCCACTTAGATGAAGTTTGATTTGATCGGATCAGTTTCCCTATGTGCATAAACAGCTTGCACTGACATAACAGAAAGGGTGGCACGTCTGTGGGAACAAGTATGGCCGACAAATGCCTCAGCCGGTATTGAAACAGAAAAAAAAATTATTAATTACACTGTTAGTAAAACAAAACTGTCTTCAGTAGCTCACAGATGAGCTGCAGCCCTCATCATTTCCTAAATCAAAGGCTGTTTCCTACTGTGTTGTATTTCAAATATACTAATTGCTAATTAACTTAAATTTAGCAAAAGTAACTACAAATTCTAAATACTTCAGAAATATTTCTTCCGCAACATAACCAAGACCAGAGTATAAACATTTAATTTTAGGCCTAAGATTATCTAGGTTCATGTTTACAGTTGATTTAAGGATTATTTATACTATTTACATTATCTCAAATTAGAAACAAATCCTTGGAACAATTAAATTACAACTAAAATGTATAAAGAAATAAAAAGCTCTTTTAAGATCATTACTACAACATCTGCTCCAAACATTACATGTAATGGAAATATTTTGGAAAAAACAGCTATACCAATAAGCACAAGAGTGAAATTGATTTAAAAATAAACTACGTGTACACAACATATTTATTTTGTACAGACCCAACAAATTAGCAAGCGATTTGTTGAAACTAATACTCTTGACATACAAGAAAGCTTAAAAAAAAAATCAAGGGAAAATAGTAAAAATGCCATGTTTCGTGTTTTAGAAAAGAAATAGGTCATCCTTGCTGTTCTTCTGATGGGGAACACAAGTGTCCCTTCAAAGAGGGGGAACAAACTAAAATTGTGCAAAATCCTTTAATTGCCTAAAACCTAGACATACTATTTTAAATTATTCAGACTTTCCTCAAACTGCTTAGGTTATGTAGTGTATATTGCCAACCCCCCTCCCTCCAAACCCCATACAAACTACAACCAAAGCAGCCGGTGGACTTCAGAAGAAAGCACTATATTAACAAGCAATACAGAAATCCTGTTTTGTTAACTCTTACTTGTTGTGGGAAACAGGTCCGTACAGAATGCTCTGTGTATCCAAAAGAAGGCCCCTCAAACACAGCTGTTGGAAGTTTTAGAACTTCTTTCAAAAACTGATCAAACTTTGTAAATATCATTAGTCCATTTGAATCTGATATTTGAGAGAAAATATCTGTAAGGAAATATAATAAAACCCTATAGTAAATACATGCTTACTGCAGAAAAGAAAAAAAATTATTTCAATCCATTTAAACCCCAAGAAATTTCTTTTTGTTTTGTTCTGAACATAATTTCTTATCACTTGCTATCAAGATAAAATTTATAAATGAACATATTCAAACAAGCTATGATATAAGTCTTCCTGTTTCCTCCATCCCATCTCACCCAGTCTTGAGAAAAGATTCTGCCAGTGCATTAACTGTAACAGCAAGAAAGCAGAAGCTAGGAGGCATTATAGAACTTACAGAACATTACATCTTCATGTTTACGCCTTCAAAATAAAACTACATAAAATCCTTTGAGAAGTCTCCTAGAATTAAAAAAGTTGTAAGAATCACAAAGTCAAAACTCCTGGTAAATCTGGTGCACGTCAACGGCATGTTGAATTTAAGTAACACAGCATTAGAAGAGAGCATCAGAAATAAAGCAGTCAGAAACCGGGGTGCAATGACTGCCGTCTCCGAGGATAAAACACGTGAGGCATGCAGCTGAGTAGATGGGGAAGAGGAAATCTGATCTAATTTTATATCAGAGATGCTGCGCACACTGAAGAGCTAGAATAGGAACTTCTGTCCTTACACAAGAAAAACGTTTATGATGAGACGAGGTATGCTTTTCAATTAGCTATGTGGGGCTAAATATATTTCTGAAACCAATAAGAGGATCAAGCAAGATGTTCAGCAATCTTGTGTATATATGGAAAAAGAAAGATAGGGAGGGCGGTCCCAGAAGGTGGCAGGGAGGAGGGCAGTTCTGCAGGTATTTTCACTCCCGTGCCATGCTCCTAGCCACGGGCATGTGGATGGAAGGATGTCTCCTGAGCCTCCTGCTCTGGAGTCCCTCTATCCCCTTACTGCACAGAGCTCAACTCCTCCAAGCCCTCTGCTCCAGCCATTCCACGCGACCAACCCAAAGGTCCCAGCTCTCATGTCTCAGGAAAGGTAAAAAACACAGGAGAAGATGTGTAGATAGCATTATAAGAAAATGATGTCATATAAAATACTAGGACAGCTGCATACAGATAAAGCAGAACCGTCCTGGGATCAAAAATCTCTTTGGAAAAGACAAATCTCTCAAACAGCAAAACTGGGTCTCTGATATACTTGCAGAGTCAGATTACTGTGTAAATGAAGATTTCTCTAATAAGAGCACTAATATTAGTAAGACCTAAAATTTTTGAAGATGTGACAGATACCAGAATTCTTCACTAAACAGCCACTGAATCCTCTATGAGGTTATTTAAGACACCATCCGTAATTAAACATCAAAAAGGATATGTTGACAGAAAATAAGCTTAATTTAAGTGATCAAAACTAGGTCAATAAAAAAAAGACTATTTCAGAAAGGCATATTCCTAGTAAACTAGAGAAATTATTCCAATCTCCTGAATGAACGAGCTCATGAAGAAGCCTACAATATCTAAGTTAAGGGTGATAAAGCTATCTGGAGTTTGTATCACTGGCTAAGCAGACAAGCTTGAAGTGAAGGTCTGAAGCCCTTGTTGAATAATTTTATAAGACATATTAGGAATAATGGAGGGGGAAAAAAAGAGAAAAAAAGAAGAAAAAAAAGATCAGTGAAGGTCAGGGGGCAATGTTGTATTTTAGAAAATTAAGACAAGCAGAAAAATTAAATTTTACCTGAAAATTGAATGTGGAAGAAAAGTCAAGATCAAAATGCACACAAATGAAAAGTATGGAAACAACTAAAACTAATTAGAGCGCCAAAATTCCAGAATCCTAATCCATTCTAGATCAGAATCATTCCAGAACTGTCACATGCACAAAAACTGAAGGTCTAGTAATAAATCTGTCAAGGTGGGACTGGTAGAACATGACTGGAACATGACAGTACTTCTACTTAAAAAAGAACAGAAATCTTCTGGGCAAATACGGTCTACTAACCTGAACTCAACAGTATGCAAGATCTAGATGATTTTAAGGAGAAAGATAACAAAAGCTATGGAAATAAGTTGAAAATGAGATAAAAATAGAGCCAGCTATATCAAGGGTAAATAAAAACAAAACAAAACACCGAAACCAAACAAACCCCACTAACCTGTATCTTGCGGTCATAAAAAAGTGGTTTTATAGTCAAAGTAAAGTTGAAGTCATTTACGTGAGAAACTTCCACATGGGAAATTACCAGTGAAACTGGAAAAGATAAAGATTAGTAGGATATAATTATACAGCCATCTGCCCTTTTAAAGGGCAGTAAATTACCCTCAAAGAGAAAACCTCAAGCTAAACAGCAGCTAACAGTATAATTTCTCAAGAGCTCACCTCAAGGTCACAACAGGCATGTGCTAATAAAGTTTCCTGATGACAAGGTATTATACTTTAATGCTCATAAAATTTCGGTTCAGTGCAACTATGCTATGAACTTTTTTTTTTTTAAACCTGAGAGAATAAAAAATTTAGAACTACAAAAAACACTGCTCAGTCCCCAAAATGCCAACGTAAAATGGTACTTGTGCAACTCGCTATTTCCTTTTTTCAAATGTTTGTAGTAAAACTTTTACATTAAGAACAGAGCTCATAATATCATGTTAAACCTGGCCAACAGTTCCCTCTTTTCAGTTGCTTGTAACTGCCAAATTTGACTGTTCTGCATTTTCAGATCATGGCGTTTGCCTGATGCTTTGTACAGTTTCAGCTGAAGGCTCCACCATTTCTCTGAGCAAGTTAAAAACAAAGCAACAAAAACCTGGCACCCTCATTTTCTAGGGTCTTGACCTTGACTGTATCCTGCGTCTCACAATTCCTATGAAGCTGTCAATTTTTATTGTACAAATTCATAAAATATTTGTTAAATACTGGGTTTAATATCAGTGAAATCCAAGAAAATAAATTTAACAGATGAATTCGTTTGACTGTGCTTTTGTGTGCGTGCATGCATGTACATGCAGGTTTTCTGGCATTAATCCAAGGTATGTATTAAGGTCAAAAGGACAATCCAAGGAAATACAGGCCAGTCAGCCCCACTTCGGTTCCTGGGAAAATCATGGAGCAAATCTTCTTGGCACACATTCCTGGGCACAGGAAAGAAAAGGTGACTGAGATCCATCAGTATGGACCTACTGAGGCTAAATCACACCTGACCATCTCGATTGTCTTCTGTGATAAGATGACTGAATTTGTGGGTATCATTCACCTCAGCTTGAGCAAGGCTTTTTACTTTTTTTTCCCCCCACAATATTCCAGTATCCAATCTGGGATGTCACAGTCTGCATGGGTGAACAACCAGATGGGCAAGTAGCTGGTTGGATGATCAGGCTTGGAGGGTAGTGGATAATGGGTCAAATTCTACATGGAGACCAATAACAAGTGGACTACTGCTGGAATCTGTCCTGCTCAACATGTCTATCGATGATCTGGGAGAGGTGCCAGACTCCATCCTTGTCAAGCTTGCAGATGATGCCAAATTGAGGGGACCAGGTGATACCCTTGAGGGCAAGGGCTGCCACCCAGCAGGACCTAGACCAGCTGGAGGAATGGGCCAGCAGGAACTGTATGAAATTCAAAAAGGACAAATGCAGAGTCCTGCCCTTGGGAAGGAAGAGACTCTGGCAGCGATCCAGGCTGGGGACTGCCTGGCTGGAGAGCACCTCTGCTGGAAAGGTCCTTGTGGGTTTTGAGGTCGCAAGCTGAACATGAGCCAGCAGCGTGCTCTGGGAGCAAAGGTGGCCAGCGGCATCCTGGGCTGCATGAACAGGAGCTCAGCTAGTAGAAGGAAGTGATTATCCTCCTCCACTCAGCACTTGTTAGACCTCCTCTAGGTTCTTTGTCCAGTTTTGGGACCCCCCAGAATCACAGAATTGTTGAGAATCACAGAATATGAAGGACAAACTGAAGTGAGCTCTGTAGAGGGCTACAAGGATGGTCAGCATGCTGGAGCACTTATCCTTTGAGGACAGGCTGAGGAAACAGCAATTGTTCAGCCTGGAGAAGATAAGACACTAAGACCGAATTACACCACCCACACACCTACAAGGAGATTATGAAGATGCTTTTGAAGGAAAATTTAGTGATTAGGGTTTGAGAGCTAGGTATCAGAGAGGTCATAAGTCTGGGACAGATGCTGGAGAGAGCAGAGGATCTCAGAGGCCCCAAGGACCACCTACTAGATAGATGAGCATCTAAAGCCAGTCACTGGAGGGATCCATATTGTACAGGCATGTGCATATATGTATATATTTATGCCACTAACAGACTTTCATCCTGATCAGGCCGAGGGGGGAATAGAACCAGGTCACTGGTGCTGTTCATATTCACATGGGTGTTTTCTGTCTGTGTTGATCCATGTGGCTGTGTGTGCGTGTTCCTACTGGGAATGCATGCCCATCCTCAGCACCGGTGGACTGGGGACATGACACTGCAGCAGCCTTACCTCTATCAGATCAGATGTTGTGGCAACTCCTAACATTTGTTATAAACAAATGAGATGTAAAAAAGCCTGTATAAAATCATGCACCGAGCTTGTGCAGTTTGAATAGATGTGATACCACAACAAACCACTATTATTACTACTACTACTTTGGTCCACTGATTAGGACCAAAACAAATAACTCCCCTTTCACCCCCACTCCTCCAAAAAACAAAATACCCTCTCCCCAAAATCAAAACCGCACAATCAGACTAATTTATCTACAGCAGATTAACCTTCAGGACCTTTATTATGTGAAACCTAGTATTTAGCATACATTATTGTAAGAATTTTGAGGGTGAACTTCAGTAAGCATGAAAGGCTTATCAGAGCCAGATGGTGAGAGGGAAAAAGGAGCTAGTGAGGCAAGGCAGCCAAGGAGCACCACACAGGTAGAGCCAGTCACTGGAAAAGTCAGACAGCCCTTAAAATGAGCAGGATGGAGTCTTGATTTACTTGAAGTTCTGTTTGCAATTTACTTGCAGAAATGACATGGAAGGAAACTCTAATTACTTCACAATGAATCTA